AGGTAACCTTGCACCAAAGCGAACTACTGATGGTAGCAGATAATTCATATTGATTACTGGTCCACATTTTAAGTCTAAACATATCAAGGAGAAATATATGTAGACAATTGCCAATGGATACTTTTTAAAAAATAATCACTATTGAAGAAATTTTTAACAAGATAAAAACAATACAAATATTAGAAAAGAAGCAAAGAAAATAAGGAAGAATAGTCAATAAGTAAGAAAGAAAATAGAAATAGAAAAAGAAAAAGATTATAAAGAAGCAGCTTCCAATCTTTTTGATAGCAGTTAAAAATGAGGCTACCCTTTCTAATCTTCAAACATAACTCACAAGTTCATTTTTCTCTTTTTTCAGCAAAATAAAAATGAAATTATCTTTCACCCTTTCCCTCTAAGGTTACATCATAATTCCCTTCTTTCCACAGGCTACCCTTTCTAATCTTCAAACATAAATCACAAGTTCATTTTTCTCTTTTTTCAGCAAAAAGTCCATAGGGGTCTGCAAAATTTTCAACAAGGAAGTCCAATTCAAATGTCAAAGGTCTTTTCTGGATCAGGAAAAATCAGCACTGCTTGTTTTTTATGAAGTTGTTCCAGGTATTCCAAATTGTCCAATACATTTCTAATATTGTCCCTCAGCTGTCTTTTAGGTAAAAACCCACACTGACCTTCATGAATAAAGTCCTGTAACACCATCTTCATTCTCTCAGCTAGAATCATTGTAAATAACTTATAATCATTATTCAGTAATGATATTGGGTGGTAATTTTTTGGTGAGGTCAAAGCTTGACCTTCTATAGGTATTAATGCTATATTGGCCTCTATCCAACTGTCAGGTAGCTTTCCAATCTGTAAAATAGAGTTTGTCTGTTTGTTCGTTGTGTTGCAACAGTGGTAGTAGTTCATCTTCAAAATGTTTATAATAAGAGGCTAGTAACCCATCTGGTCTGGGTGCTTTCCCTGTTTTAACCTTTTTTATAGCTTCGCAAACTTCCCTTATTCTTATAGGACCATTCATTAATAGTTTCTGTTTTTCTCTAATCTTCAGTAAATTTTGTTTCTTTAAATATTCATCAACCTTTGCCAGAGTAATTCCTTCTCCTATAATTTAGATGGTGTTACAGGACTTTATTCATGAAGATCAGTGTTGGTTTTTAGGTAATATTGATAAACTATTTTTTGCATCTTTAAATTATCAGTTATTATGGTATTTCCATCTTGTAGTTTTAATAGTTTTTTCTCTTCTTCTTCCCTCAGTTTACATGCGAACCATTTTCCTGGTTTACCTGCAAATTCAATTTTTTTTAATTTTGCATAATTCATTTTTACTTCCATTTCTCTTACTGTTAACAAAGACAAAGTTTAATTTGTTGTGAAATAATTTTCTTTCTGAGGAATTTCTTTAATTCTTCTTCTTTCATTTTTATCTAATGCAACTGGAGAATGTTTAATGGACTAAAAGTTTATTCAGTATCTTGCGTTAAAAAAACATATCCAAACCAAGTCTATTGAACAGAGGATGTATTGCCACAAAACATATTCCTAGCTACTGACTTTAAAAAAAAACAATTGAACAAATATGTGATACTTTTTTTTGGCAGGACTTCTGAAAAACACTTTACTGCTAAATTCCTGACAATAGGGGCAAAGATATGAAATGACTGTGGCCTTCTTGAAATCAAAGAATAGAAGTTACTTCATTAAATTGTTCTTTTCTGGTTCAACTGGACTGGAAGACCAATCGCAATCCCAAGACTTTTTGTCTATTTTCCCCATTTTTTACATTAGAGAATGTAAGAGAAGCTGCTAAAAAAGTAGTTTTGAAACTCCAGAAAGTGAATTAATGTAATAGCATGCTAATGTATGCAAACTCAGGGAGGCAGTGAAGGACAGGAAGGCCTGGCGCAATATGGTTCATGGGGTCACGAAGAGTCAGACATGACTTAACGACTGAACAACAACAACATGCTAACATATCAGCTCATAGAGTTGCATTGATTCTACAGGGAGAGAGATTCTACTACAAGTCACTTACTGGCGCATTTCCCATATCCGTCTGCAACCACCCAGGGTGCAATGCAATACACAGGATCTTGTCTTCAGCATATCTCAGGGACTGGCATCGGGTCAGCATGTTTAAAGCAGCCTAGGAGAGGGGCATTGTAGAAACAGGAAGACGAATGGCACATCTTAGTTCCGCAAAGAACATTGTGGGTTTAAGAGATGTTACTTAATGGTTATTTGTGCGACCATTTTCTCCAATTCTTTCTGCCTTGCTACTAGATAGGGCAGGATGAACATGCTCCAGGCCCCATCTGTTAAGCAATGCCATCTGGCATGACCCAGGAAGTAAACCTTCTCTGCCACCTTACCTCCTGAGATTCATTTGGTCCCTACCCTGCTGTAAATCCTTTAACGTCTGGATGTTCCCCCAGTGGGGCCTGTAGTTTGGGTGAGCCCGCCATTGTGGTTTTCTTTGGCATGACTGTGGTTATGTGGTTGAATTGATTGCCCTTGGGTGCCATAGTTTTATGAATGTGCCATTGTTGTTTATGTTGTTATTCATTTTTTGTTTTGTTTTATTGGCTTTTTTCCCCTACGTTCGCTGCTCAGAGTTGCGATTGCAACATGGGCAGCTATATAAATTGACTAAATAAATACATAAAGACTTGTCAGACATACATGGCCAGATCTTTTCCTAATAGAGGGTTTGAACCCTTTAGAAAATATATGGCTATGTACATCTGATGAGTCCCAAAGTAGGAGAAACCTGCCATATATTGCCTCCTGGTGGTCAATACAAGTAAATGGTACCTAGAATTCAAAAAACAAGACATACTGGCTGGTGAATTCTGGGAGTTGACGTCCACGCATCTCAAAGTTGCTAAGTTTGAGAAACACTGGACTTGTTCTTAGACTTCTAGGAGTTAGAATTAGAATTCTGGGAGCTGAAGCCCACACATCTTAAATTTGCCAAGTTTGAGAAACACTGTGCTACACTCATGTATGCATGGATAAGTGATATATCACTGCCACATTTTAAGCATTCAGTCTCTTATGCTATGGAGAACCAAAGCATGGATGAATTCTTAACACCTTCTGGAGATCTTGCCTGAAACATGGGCTTATGATATGATAACTTTTCTCCAACCTTGCTACAGCGATAGTTGGGGATTTGTCCAATATCCCATGCCAGGACGTCGGCGATGGAGCCGCATAGACTGGATATATTAACAATTGCAGCTTTGCTGCAGCTCATTCCTTTCAGGGCACTTTCCTGGGACGCCTTCCTCAGCAAGGGTAGGAATACCTGAAGAAGGAGAGGAAAAAAAAATTAAAACAGTTGCATGCTCTCCTCAGGTATGGAAAGGTCGCCGTGGGAGCGTGCAAATGATAGTTCAGAAGTCATTCATCAAAGGCTGTCTTGTGCTTCTATAATCCTGGTGCAAGCTTCTGCCCCTTTGATAATCGAGAAAGCTATACCTGATGACCACTTTTGCAGGCAATTGTCAAAAATGTAGTGGCCCCGTTCATTCCACTCGCTGAACCGGTTAGCTGTTGATCCAGTGGACTTGCCAGTGGAATGGGCACCCCAACCACTGGATCCAAAGTTACTATTGTGAGTACACATGACCCCACCCGTTTTCTCCAGGACGTTCCTGATATCACATGAGGCTTTCTACCAGCAAAGTCCTAGCAAGACTTCATTCCATCACTGGCTCTTTCCCCATTGGCCAGAAAGGCAGCAGTAAATGTGGCTCGTTCACTGTGCTCAGTAAATATTAGGGACATGTGTTCTGAGCTGCCAGGACCTGGCAGTGACTTCTATATTGGAGAGGTCTGCTGTTTTGGACATTCTTTTATTCCAGTTCTTTTTCTTGGAGGACTAGATAGACATGATGTTGCAATGAGCTGAGTTCCAATGTACTTCCTACAGGGCTGACTGGTTAGAGTTAATTTAACCCTATTCAGGACTGGACTAGATCTTTTCCTAATAGAGGGTTTGAACCCTGTAGAAAGACATGGCTATGTACATTTGATGAGTTCCAAAGTAGAATGAAACCAGTCTCATACTGCCTCCTGGTGGTCAATACATGTAAATGGTACTGTACTTAGAAGTCTAAGAACTCTATCCCCTTCAGGATCAGTTGCCTGGGTCAACGGACCCCTTTTTGGTGTCCCCATGCCATACTACCTCCCTCCCTACCCAGTTAAGCATATCTTGGAACAGGACAATACTTTTACCCAGGGCAGAGAAGAATAAAGCCTACCTCTAAAGTCACCATCACAAAGCATTGGTGTAAGTCCATCTAGTCTCCAAATGTTAAGGGCATTAGAACAACGTGAGACATAGGTCAAAGGGAAGGATCTTAAGGATACTCCTACCTGGATCATCACCATGGGACCAATCACATTGACATTGTACACCTCTAACATTTTTTCTGGTGTCTCTGATTCCATATTGGATTCCTTTACTATCCCAGCATTGTTGAACAACAGATTCAACCCAGCTCCATTTAGACGTTCTGTAATTTTGGCTGCAGCAGCTTTGATGCTGGATGGATCAGAAGTGTCTAAAGCAGAAATGAGAAGGTTTTTGTAAATGATGAAAATCCCCAGCCAGGATACAACACTGCAGTTTCCCAGCAAAGATATCTAACTGCAATTTATATATCAGAGTTCTGTATACATTAGTGTTTCTCAACCACAGCCACTTTAAAATGTGTGGACTTCAACTCCTAGAATTCCCCAGCCAGTAATGGCTGGCTGGGGTATTCTGGGAGTTGAAGTCCACATATCTTAAAGTCATTGAGGTTGAGAAATACTGCATTCGAGTAATATTCTGAATTTCCTACAACAACCTGATGCCAGATTGTATGTTCTCCTTCCTTAATTTTTCTTTACAACCTTGAGAGGCAAACTAGGCTGAGAGAGAATGAGTCTGTGTTCACACTAACTCATTTTTAACTACAATGTATTGAACAAACTTCAACATGTTTGTTGAACATGCCACATGATGTAAATAAAACCTTAACAGATTGCCACTGAAACCCAACTCTTCTAGTGAGATTCAGAAATACCTTTGGTTTCAGTCTAACACTTTAAACCCCTGGAAGCCTGGCAATTACTACTGTTATTTGCAGTTGAAAAGAACTTAGGATCTCTTGACACAATATATTTTTACGTAGGCATACACAAAAATATGCCATATAATTAACAAAATAGGTCATGAATACTGTATGTACTCTGTTTGCCAACCAGTGAGACGGTCAAGGGCAGAAACATAAACCTAAGATTTTGATTACTTGAAATGAGTTACTGGTGGCTTATGACTTTTTTTTTTCTGATAAACGATCACACAAGCATGCATACGAAGTACAGATAGGGTTATATAGTAGTAATTCCCCAACAGACTTACGTCCTGCCTTTCTGTAAGAGCACAGGGCAGCATACGCAGTACTCTCTCTTCCCATTTTTCTCCTAACCACAGCCCAGCGAAGTAGAGTGAGACAAGAGAGAGTGATTGACCCAGAATGATTGAGTAAGCTTCTATGTCTGAGTGTGGATTTCAACCAGATTGCTCAGCCCCAGTGCTGCACCTGGCACCTTAGACATTCCTCCATGGTTCCTAAACACAGTTGACCCACTGCCTGAGATTGTGGGAGAGCAGGACTCCTGAGAATGCTATGGACAGCCAAGAAAACAAACTGATGGATCATTGAATAAATCAACCCAGAGTTCTCACTCGGGGCATAAATGAGCAGGCTCAAATTATCCTACTTGGGGCACATTATGCAAAAGCCCAGCTCTCTGAGAAAGGCTCTAATGCTGGGAAAGGTGGAAGGAAAGAAAAGAAGACGACCAGCAGCAAGGTGGATGGACTCCGTTATGGTGGCAATGAGTGGACCGTAGGGAGACCTGAAAAAACAGGTTAGGGGTAAATCATCATGGAGAAGGTCTATCTATGTGGTCACTAGGAATTGAAAACAACTTGATGGCACATAATTAATCAATCTCCCCCCAAAGCTGCTTCTCTTGGAAGTGGGGAGAAATCTCTCAGCGATGCATAATCTGTTTTATGGGTAGCTATGTGGGCAGAGAAATGTACATCCTGAAATGTCATTCAGAGATACCTTTGGTTTCAGTCCGACACTTCGCAGCTAAGATTGAGCAGCTTAGAGAATGTAACTGAGCAAGGAAAGCATTGTGGTCATCAGTTCTAAATGAAGCACTATCAAACCATACCACTGATATTCCCTCTTGCAAGAACAAGGTACATCATATTGATGAAGACAGCAGGCCATGGCAGAAACCTTGCAGTCCCAGCCCAAGACTGAAGCTGAGATCTGTTTGCTGAGCTCCTAATTGTTAGTTGAATGGAGGCACCGGACCACTTGCACCTCCCAAGAAGATGCCTTAACTTGCAGAGTTGCAAGATACAGCAAATCATGCAGGAAAGGAAAGTCAGAGCAACAGCTGTTGGGAACTTCTATGAAAATATATCATTCTATACATTCCCAAGGAAGAACTACAGAAAGTTCACTTCATTGCATTTCTCATTCTCTCTCTTGTTTTTTGTTATTTTTTGCATTCAGGCTTACCGAAATACATATTTATTAAGGTGTTTGAAAATATGAATTGTGGTTGAAGGTGTAGCAAGCTTCTTATAAAACAGTATGAAGGACCAAAGATACATTCCAAAACTAGACATTCAATACAAATACATAACTGTTATCATTGCATATTTTAAAAAAAACAGATATACATGCAACTAGCAGAACCTAAGATTATGGGCCTTTGACCTCCACATCCATTATTCATTGCCTATCCTATTAGCCTGCTATTTGTTTTTTAAATGTCATTATGCAATTGCTAACTGTGTACACACCATCGTGTCTAGCTTAAACCTCAGAGTTACAGGGAACAAATAAATTGCTTTCATTTTTACAGCTTTTTTTGTATTTGAATAATATCCAGACTATCCCTATCAGTGCACCATTTGGGAGACAAAGTGAATTCACTAAAAGAGAAAACAGCAGACCTTTGTTCAGACTGTTTTATATCCCGCTAACAGAATTGTAATCAGGGCAAAAGATGTATGAACTGGATGTAACCAATGCCTGCAATAAATGCAGGACTGATGCATGTTGACATGTCTGCCTCCACCCCGCAAAAAGAGACCCCATTTAATCCCCTGGCATGTCAGCTCTTGGCCCATCAGGACAGGGGTGGGCAACCAGTGATCATACAGAGCAGTACTTCTCAACCTTGGCAACTTGAAGATGTGTGGGCTTCAACTCCCAGAATTCCCC